AATTGGCTAGAAGCTTTAATTCTATAGTTGATTCATATAGCTAAAATTGATTGGAAAAAGGCTTGGAGATCTATTTTAGGTATTGTTTCGATTTTACCCCAGAACCCCCAGATTGGCTCTACTAAGTCATATAAGTCATATAGGTTATATGATATCATTTGCTAACACTGCATTGGAGTATATATAATTAATAATATTTAAATAGGTATGACTATTATAATGATCAAAGATTTAGAACCAGTGAATTTAAACTGATTATAAAGCTTTGAATAAAAAACATTTGAGATCTTTGTTTTCTTTTTTTGTAATTTTCTTTAATAAAATTAATGATATTTTTTGGTTGATTTGTAAACATTTGATCATACATAATATGTTCAGCAGAATCACATTTATGATATCTGCTGAATATCATTAGAAATTTTGATTCTCAAGAGCATAAAAGTTTTTTAAAATATCATTTATTATATCTGTATATTCAAAATAAAGAATAGCTAACAGTTAAGGTTTATAATTATTTGATCTGATGATATAACAATTTTTAATTTTAGTTTGAGAATGATATTCTAAAGATCACATGCTGATATTTCATAAGGAAGATTGGTTAATTTAATATAAATATCATTGACTTATTTAGGATAAAACAAATTGGATAAACTCTTATGCAATCATTAAAAAAGTAATATAACCATTGCTTATAGAAAAATCTATACATTGCAGTAAATCATATATAATATATGCATGTTATCACAGCTTCCTAGTCTGCATGCAAATATTGATAATAGTGCTATATTTAGCAAAATACTAGCATTCTTTTTAGTGTTAAGATGAACGTCAGTTATATGCAGGATATGCTATTATAATTGTATGTTTTTTTTGTAATTATTATAATCAATCAGTTGGATGATTCCTAAATCTGAAAATTTGGATTTCATAGCATCTTGATTATCAAAATAGACAATCACTAATCTTATCAGATTGATACATCAAATATTAAGCCCTTAAATATGTCTTCTTGAGCAAAGTAGTTGTTAATAGTTTTAGTAAGTATTAGGGTGGGAGGTTCATTGGCATTTTTTCCAATACTGGCAGCACATGCAAAGTGAATAAGATAAGAAATAACAATAAAATCCCTCGAGTCAATTAGAACAATGTTGGATGAAAGAATGCTTTTTGAAGTAAAGTATCATTGATGATAAAACATCCAAATCTAAAATTTTTTTGGATTATTCACCAGAGGTAGTTCTGGTTGCTTCGTTTTGGGATCAAAGCAAAGTTTTTGTGAGAAGCAGTTTTTCCTTGATTTTTCTAACCAATTTTGTAAAAAGTATATTTAATAAAGCTCTTTCTAAAATAAAAGTATATTTTAAAGTGAAAAGAATAGAACTATCTAACCTAGTTGTAAAAATATTCAAAGTTTTATAAGCAGCGAAACGTTTTTATTTTCTAAAAAATTTTGTAAGGGGAGAAAAAGCTTTTTTTCAAAAAAATGAAAAAAAATAAATCATTATCTTACATAATCATAAAAAATTTACGTAAACGTGATTTTTGTGGTGTAATTTGGAATAACCGAAAAAGGCAAATTCATTTAATCACAGCTTGCAATATTAACGATATTCTATTTGTATCTGACTACTCATTGTTAGAATCATTTCTTCACACTTACAAGAAAATTGAGAGTTATGTAAGCAGAATAATTGATGGTACAAACGAACAATAAACCATGTAAATATTTCAGATGCGAATAAAAACTTGCACTCAAATAAAAAATGTTAGCTTAGTTTATAATATATCATACAGAATTTTCGTTTATTTATATATATAAAAAATTACATATACCAAGAATAAAAAAGTCAAACAAAATAAAAAAAATATATAAATATGTAAAAGTTAAATAGTAAAAGTAAAAATAACTATACATAATATAAAATTTTCATAATCAATACTGTTATAAGTATAATTATGTTCTTTTTTTATGCTCTGGAGTATCTGGTTTAGACTCAGGTGATTTTTCATCCAAAAGAGCATCTAAGCAGTTGACTAGGTCCGTTGTATCATAACGTGCTTCCTTTGGCATTCCGACAAGTTTAAAATTACCATCCACAATTACAAAGAATCGGAATGGCCAAGGTGAATATAACTTTAAGAAAGTGTTATCCATAGTATCTGCTAATACAGAAATCTCAAGTTGAGTAGCTTCAACCATATTACGTGCAGCTGTCAACCGTTCTTCTAATGTACGATGTTCTTTAACATTTACAATATTACCAATAGGCCAAACATCACTGGCGTGTGCTTCACGAATTTGAATCATATAGAAGTCTACATCTTTTTGATATTTATTATAAATGTCGTTGAGCACATGAGATATGTATCGATATAAAGGACAGGTATGTGATCCAGCAAGAAGAACAAGGGGTCGTCCTGGTTGATAAAGTGAGCGCAATTGAGTTATAGTTTTATCATTATTTAAGGGAACTAATGAACAGTCAGGTGCTGGCATTCCTTCTTTGAGATTTCCAATAGAAGCAATATTGTTGCGAACATATACTTGAGTTGTTTGAAATGCAGAATCATCTGAAAATAAAGTAAGCAATAAGAAAATGTTAAAATGTAATAGCAAAAAAAAAGAAAAGAACAATCCCTTTTTACCTTTGTAAAGTTGTGGAGCACGTCGTAATAATTCTACAGCCTCACCCGAGTAGCCAAATTCTCGAACCAACTCATGTTGCATTTGATCAGTAACATCCATCCAGTCCTTTCCAGATGTGGGATCACTTCCAACATCGTAATATTTTTGTTGTAATTCTGGTGAAAATCTTCGCTTTTCTTCTTCTTGTAGCAAGTTTAACATCTCTTCTTTTTTTGTCGGAAGTATTGGTACGATGGTAACAGGGTTAACGAGAACTTCTTTTGGAAAGTCATTTTGATTTTCTGGATCCAATAATTCCGAAAAATTATGCTGCACGTCATGAAGCAGTTTGGACATTTTAATACAATCATAACACAAGTCATAATCAAAACATTCTGAACACTTATATCTGTGAGAAGCAAAACGATACAAAAGAGATGAAATAGATATTTCTAATGTCCATAAAAAAGTTGATTAAACTAATTATTTACCTTGCTCCTTTCCATCCACTTTTGCCACAATAATTACAAGCAATACCGACGTGAACTTTGTCATGTACTAGATGTCTTTCAGGAACATGCATATATTGCATGAGTGATGGCAATGCATTGAAATCTATACGCCCACTAGTCTCATCAAACATTCCTCCGCGTAATCTAAGTACGAGATGTAATGTTGGTCCTACTCGAGGGAAAATGGAGCGATTGTCGCATATTGACAAAGTAAGACTTTTGCCGGATAATGTTTTTACATGAACTAGAATAGCTAGAAGTAGCTCCAATCTTGCCCCTTCTCGAATACTATAATATTTTAAGATATTAGAATCACTCAATTGCTTTCCATAATGAAGATGATAATAAAGACATTGTTTATTAATAGGAATGCCTTCACATTTCTGAATCATTTGTTTAACCTCACGGATAGTGTTATATTCAGTTACATATATTTCTACGACTTGTCCATCTTGCGTTTTCACGCAAAGTTTAAATGGAGTTGTAGTTAACACCAATGTTGACTCGTTTTGAATATTACAAAATTTCATGGTGCTAGAATCATCCAATTGTTTTCCACCAAAGAGAATGCGTTGTCTATGAACAGGAATATTTATACATTTCTGAACCATTTTTTTGACATCATTGATAGTGTTATTTTCCATTAAATGGAGTTCTATCGCCTTTTCATCTTGAGTTTTCACATAAAGTTTAATCGTTGTTAAAATTAGCTCCAATGTTGACCCTTTTTGAATATTATAAGATTTCAAGGTGGTATTATCATCCAATTGTTTTCCATTAAAATAAAGACGTTGTTTATAATCAGGGATGTCTTCACGTTCCTGAACCATTTGTTTAACCTGATGGATAGTGTCATGTTGCTTTAAAAGGAACTCTATCGCTTTTCCATCTTGCGTTTTCACATAAAGTTTAAATGGAATTTGAACGACCTTGATAAAGTCTCCTTGCTAAGAATGAAAAAGAATAATTCAATAACGTTGCACGTGTACTACTTTTCTTTACATTCTATCTATCATTAACAGTTACATAATTATTTCATACAAACACCAACCTTTATTCCTAAATTTTTAAGAGTATCAGTATTTTGTAAGACTTTTCCGACATATTCAAGATTATAGTCGTGAATTTCATCCTTAATATAAGTTTTAAAGCATTTCAGCAATAGCTCTACCATAGTATCCGCTGTCACATTTGCTTTACAAAATTGGGGTCCAATAATAACAGAAAAAACTGGAGGGAGATTAGGCACTGAAATCAAATACATTTTTTGTAAATTATTTTAATTCAAAAAGCGCTTTCGAACAAATTGCTCAAACTTTAAGTACTTATCTATAGTACATGTTTATATCAGCTGATGTTCATTGATGTTCGATTTCCCGTGATATAAGTACGTTCATAATGGATCTGAAAATGACCGTTATAATGACTCGGATTTTAACCGGATTATGACGTAGGAAAATCCACAAGAAAATTATTCAGTTATGAATTTGTTTTCACCCTTTGAACTGGGGGGTAAAGGAATTTTGATTTAGTAGAGTATAATCTTGCTAAATAAGCTAAAAATCATTATAAATTGCTATAAATTGCTATAAATCGATAAATAGCTCAAATATAATTATTATGTCATTATGTCAAACAGGTTTTAATGGGATGCAACATTTTCGCGCACAAGAATACGTAAATTTCACACCACGTGACCTGTGACAAGTGGAAATAAAAATTTTTAGCCAAAAATAGTTTAAACTGTGACAATTCAATAGAGGATATTTTCATCCGTCATTTGCGAGCTGTTCATCGGACGAAGTAAAAATGAATTTATTTCGTAATTTCTTGATTTCCACATTTTCATAACTTGGTCATGGGTTTTATTTTTTAAAATTACTACAACGACTATGTTCATGAACAGCAAGGCACACTTTTTCATGCCTGAATTGCATAGTTTATTTGGACGTAAAATTCTTGAGAAAAGATCACGTGATTAATGGTCAAAAAATTTTATATCAATATGTAATTAACAGACAATTGCTATACGGAAATGTGGTAAAGCACCTCAAATGACAAAGAATAATTTTTATTTTCACTGCAATAATATGACAAAATAAATATAAATATAAAATTATTATTACATTTCTAAAAAGTTATCATAATAAGGTGGTAAATAAAAACGAATAAATTTCAAATTCTATTTTAAGATAAATAAAGCGATCACCTTTTAACCCACACTTGCCCTACCCTATCTTCTACCCTATCTTATTTTGTCCCAACTCATTTATTCCTATTTTGTTTCCTTCTATCTTTCAAAATTCCTCCTCGAAAAGAGTTGTATGTATAATGATAACCAACAAACATGAAAGAGTTTCTTCGAATCATCCTGCGAGCAACTAACCGTGTTTTAATTTTTTTATAATCAAGTAAATATGAAGAAGCGAAAAAAATATTTATATGCTCGTTATGGAACACGTGATTGTATTAATAGTGTTTTTTTTTTATTTTGGTAGCATTATAAAAACGGAACGAACTTTTTTCTTGGTCCCATTTTAATAAATAAATGTGTAGTTAAAGTAAGGGATGATGATGTAATGATTTTAAATGTCGGATGGAGAACAGGTAGGATTCAAAGGTTTAACGAAAAAAGGTAAGGGATAAAGAATTAAATATATCGGAACGAGTGTTGATATTTGATATATAAATTCTTTAATCCTACAATTTAGGATTGACATATAAATTCTTTAATCCTACGATTAAGATTGTCATCCATATTATAAAATAAAGGGTTATTGTCGAATTCTCGTAAGAATTTGTTAAATAATTTTTTTTGCTCCATGTTAATGTAAAATTAATGTCAAGTTCAAAGTAAATGTTGGAAGGAGGAACAGGTAAGGATTACATTAATCAAATCTACAGTCATTTAAATAACTTTTTTTTACTACTTTGATAACAATCAGGTGAATATTTTTATCCATCTCAAGTGATGTATTACAAACAGATAATACAAATGCTAAGACTGATAAAACAACTATTTAGAACAGAACTGACAAATAATCTGTACAATGTGACAACAATACTTACATTTGCATAACGCCAATCCCCAATGTAGTACTTATAACCCCGATAATTGGGTCAACTGATTGAAATTGATGGGCTCAAATCAAGTAAATTAAATACGCGGACTAACCAAATCTGCCATTGTAAAAAATTTTTTTGTGACCTTGTATAATGTAACACTGAAATTTCATTCCATTAATCCAAAAGTAGCAATTAAAAACGCATAATCTGTCAACAGAAATAGTGTATTCTTTTTTTTTTAAATCATATTCATTTTTAAAGGATGTTGAATTGATGGACTAAAAATCAGTAAAAAGTGGTAAATTAAATAAAAATGTTACAATATTTTTTTTTTGTTGTTATATAATGTAACGCAATAACCAGTTTCGAAATTGTACAGAATAACCATTGTAAAAATTTTTTCTCGACTCTTGTTTAACAATTCAATAAATTTGTTTAATGTAACACTGAAATTTCATTCCATTAATCCAAAAGTAGCAATTAAAAAACGCATAATCTGTTAACAGAAATAGTGTATTCTTTTTTTTAAATCATATTCATTTTAAAGGATGTTGAATTGATGGACTAAAATCAGTAAAAAGTGGTAAATTAAATAAAGATACTGCAGTATTTTTTTTGTTGTTATATAATGTAACGCAATAACCGGTTTCGAAATAACCATTGTAAAAATTTTTTCTCGACTCTAGTTTAACAATTCAATAAATTTGTTTAATGTAACACTGAAATTTCATTCCATTAATCCAAAAGTAGCAATTAAAAAACGCATAATCTGTTAACAGAAATAGTGTATTCTTTTTTTTTAAATCATATTCATTTTTAAAGGAATATTTTTTTTTGTTGTTGTATAATGTAATGAAATAACCGGTTTCGAAATGTGTGGACTAACCAAATCTGCCAGTGTGAAAAATATTTCGTGACCTTGTTTAACGGTTCAATAAATTTGTTTAATTAACTGAAATTCATTCCATTAATCCAAAAGTAGCAATTAAAAAAATTATTTTGATTTGTTTATCAAAGCTTACAATATGATAAAGATTATTTTTTTTAATTAAAGATATTGAAACTTTTTTTTTCTTAGACTTGAGTAAATGGATATTGATGCAAAAATTTTAATATATCTAGCAAAGGATTAAACTTTTACTCAATAAAGCAATATTTTGCCCTAAAATATTTTAGTTGATAATAATCCATTGTCGGAGAGGGATTCTTTCATCATGAATATTTAAAAGTATACAATTTTCGCATTTTATTGTATTGTTGTAGATCATCAAATTACATGACCTGGGTAAATTTCATCCGGTTTCGTGCATGAATATGACAATAACAACCAGTTAATCGACCTGCTTTGCAAAAATTGAGATGATGCTGCGGAATCTTTAGAATTTTCATTTTTTTTTTTGAAAAAGAAATTTAAGAAATGTCGTGACGTGAATTTTAAAAAATTTTATCATTGTATTTTGAAGCAGTTGCGATTTTGAGATATCGCGACGTCTACAGCGATTTTTTTAAAAAAATTTGAAAGGGTAGCATTTGTTTTTTTAAAAAAATTTAATTGTTATAAAGGCTCGGAGTAAAACCTACAGTAAGGTATACCAATCATCTATTCCTATTATATATCCAAAGAACTGGACTTCTCTTGATACAAAATGATATTTGTCAGGATTAATCTTCAGTCCTGTACTTCTGAGTCTTAACAATATTTTTTTTATATGTTCTATATGTTTATCCTATATTTTTGAGTAAATAGTTATATCATCAATGTAGTTTAAGATGAATTTTCATAATATATATTTAACATATTATTCATAAGCTTTTAAAATAGTGTATAAAATCTAAGTGAAAATTTATGTATACAAGTTTATAAATTATTACTAAAATAAGAAATTCATAATAATTTCTTATGCAAATTTACCTTTTTTGTATATAATTTATCTGTGTAATATATGCATACAAAAAATTAATGTGCACATATGCACATTGTGCACATAGATTTTACACTGCTTTGAAATGTAGCTAAGGCATTACATAACATTATATTAATATAATCCATATTTGGTAATAAATACTATTTTCTTCTTTATCTTCTTCTACAACTTCTACTTACTAATATCCTGATGCTAGATATATTGACGTGAATTATAATACTCCTTAGAAACTATCAATAATTTTATGAATGAGCAGTAAAGGATATTTATCTTTTTTAGTTACATTATTTAACTTTCTATAATTTATGCAGAATCTTGTTTTACTTTTTTTTTAATAAGAATAATTAGTGAGATCTAGAAACTATTAGATAGTCCAATAAACCCTTTTTCTAATCCATTATCTATCTCTTTTTTAATTATTATTTTTTTTTATTATATTTCGGGTGATTGGTATGTGACATTATGACTAGAATCTTATGAAACTATATGTTGGTTACATTTCTAGATCTCTGTCAGCTCATATGTTCATTAGCAACCTACACTGATAAACCAGCCCAGATGTTGTCTTGTCGGCAGAATTAAGCCCTTATAGAGGATTTGACACCCTCTTTGGTTACCACACATCCGGAAACTACATACCACTATAGGACTGAGGGATCCATTACATCATATACTTTGCTAGGGTATACTCTTACCCAACCAATGCCACAAGGTTTATGGGATTATTACCATAAGATTTGCCTAGACAGTGAACTAGTAGGGTGATAATCAGGCTATATCGACAAATATCTTAGGAATCAAACCTAACCTCAAACCTAATGATATGCTCGATTAGACGATGCTGTAGCATGCAATGCAGTTTATTATCACCGTTGATTTAATCTACTAATTTCTGGTCAATCACTTCCTTAATTGATATACAATCTTATGATCATATATGGAAATAAGAGCCCCTGTCATGTGAGACGTAAGACTGTATCCATTATAGACCAATCAGCGAAGGCCAAGTTTCTGTTGATCCCAGACTTCATTTGCATCTACTTGTTCTTACGCCGTGTAGTATTTAGGCATGATTAACATTGATCGACAGATCGATCAACCAGAATCTAATGCATATTAGTATATACACCCACTTGTTCAGTTACAAAGAAATTCTTTATGGAAAATCATATAGTTTTATATATCGCATGATACCTGAACTATAGCCTATTGCTGTGTAATAAAACTTTAGCTTAATAGGGACTCGCAACTTAACCACTGAGTAAAGATTGCT